GATTGCGAGTCGAGCGCCCTAACAACCTGACCATGCCGGGTATTTTTGGATATTCTTCTAGAAGCTACACACACACAAACAAACAACAAGAAAACAAACCTGTGTTTGACGTACCTTATTTTGAACTGATAGACTAGAGGGAAGCCAGCTACTAAACAACACCAATCGTCGACTGGTAGGCTAATCTAATCGATTAGTAGATTTTGACCTTCAATCTCTTACCGCACCTTAGACTGCAATGTGGGAAGCACGGTTTCGAGGCAACGGGACGCGAGGGTTAGACTCTCAAATTCACAATGTGGCATACTAAACCCCAGCTCATTTTCATCCTCACAACCGTTCAAAGAAATAACGATTGGTTATAAGAATCCACAGTTTCAACTAAATTTCTTCGTATATTAAAGGTATAATATTTATAGTCACGTGTTTTATCTTGAATATTTCTACAAAGAAACTCTGTGCTTCCTGCGAAATTCATACATCACTGGGACAAGGCATTTTATAAAATACCAAACAGATTTGTATCCGATTCGGAAACAGGTACAGAACTTATCTAGTTTTGTGGCATGGTGTAGAATCTGAAGGTTCTCCTTGTTTACCAAATCTGTTGTTGGTAGTAGTATCCAGATACAACCAATCTCTGACAGTTTTCATCCTACAGCCATGTTATGTGGTATATTATGTTAGTTTTTATCCTTCAGCCATGTTATGTGGTATATTATGTTCTCGTTACCTCGTGTGTCTCAATCCAATGTTATGCTCTTGTCCAATGATCCAGATTTGTTAAGAACTCATAAACACTTCAGCAATCCCCATTACGTTTAGTATCACGTGTTTGTAATGCAAATAGACACTTAAACCGGAATATAAGAATGTGTACAATATACATTTTATTTAGTAACGACTAAACAACAGCAAATCACAGAAGGTTAGTACATTCTAAGCTAAATACAATACTAGCAATACAGCATATACACAGAGGTAACTTGTACTATTTTAATAGTAAATGTATGTTACTATTTATTCAGGGGCGTAGCTAGTACTACAGAGAGTGTGTGTGTGTGTGGGTGGGGGTCATTTTATTTCCATAAAGTGTGAACTTTTCTACTATACCTAGAATTTACAAGAAAGCCAACGTGTTTATATATATATATATATAAACCCCCAGCCCGACCTCCTGGCTACGCCCCTGCTTACTATATTTAACTTCAATAATTCAAAGATAAGACGCAATGATATGTAAATACACGAACGCTTTCACGCATCACTTATTCGCGAATTAAAAAACATTCAAATTACCCCATTTTTTATAGAACTGTTCGGGGATAATAACTTGTATTTTCTATGTAACTATTATTTTCATATTGTATTGTTCACACCATCACAACATGGCGCTACCCTGAAATAATTATTTTATGGTATTGAATATTACCAGTAATACAAAAAAAAATGTTTAGGCCTAACAAGAGTAATTAAAATTACGTTTGATTATATATGTTTTTTCTTCAGATTTTTCTCGGTTATTTCTTTACAGATTGTATAAAATAGTTTGTAGAGTAAACGTGTT